TATATATATTTCTTCTTAAACAGATTGTAAAATCAGGATTACCTGCAAAAAATCCTCCAAACTCATAAACCCACCACTCAAAGCACTTCATTAATGAACTGGGGATGGCCAGCTTCATATAGGAGCCCCATTCCTGGAGTGATTCTACAGACCAGCCTGAAGGGGGAGGAAGATACTCATTTATGTACAGTGTTTCTGAAAAGCCTGTGAAAAAGAAGCTCCTTACTGTAAATATAAAAGTCCCTCACCTGCCCATGTTGTCACGTGGAGCTTCTTCCACCAAATGTAGGCAAAGAGAAACACACAGATGTAAATCTGAGACAGAGTGTTTGCTGCTGCAGATCCACTGTGAAGCACAAGAGCGAGGTATACTAAAGGTGACTTTTACCATTTAAATAAAACCTGAAATGATAAACTGAGACACACGAGCATGCATACCCAACTCCCCAATCCAGCCAGTAAAGGAAGATGTAATTTGTGACCCCGTTTGCAAGGTTTGCCACTGCAGCGCTGTACATTTGTGGCAAAATTATGCCCTGAGTACACAAATACAAATAATATTTGTTTACATTTTTTATAAGATGTTACAAAAACATATGAGTTTCCCTATTTCTGTAAGCAAAGATTTGATGTTTCAGATTTAAGACACAAACTTACCTGATTCTGCAAATAAGACACCTGAAGTTGATGCAGAAACATTGCCTACAAAATAATATTTCATAAAGTCTTATCAGCTCATGACAAGTAGCAGGTTTTATTAACTGAAACTGTGTAATGCAATGAATAAAGTGAGATGAAAGGTGACTTACAGGCACTGCAGGGAGGAAAGCAGTGATATAAAGCTGGGCAATTCTGAAAATAAAGACTGTAAATGATATCCAGCAGTGGGCAACTAAGGAAAACAAAATGCTTTTGAAAAATTTAACTAAAACTTTAAGTTTGCATTTAAGGGTCAAATATATTCTAATAAGTACTAATATATTAAAATCGTTGAGAACTACACTGCAAACATTGTCCGTCTAATCAAATTTTACAAGTGTTTTTGATCTTGTTTTGAGACTGATTTACCGAACAAGAGCAGAATGTGTTAAATTATTAATCTTGTTTTTTCAAGAAGTCTTACCAAGTGTACAGTAATTGTCTTACTGCCCTGGCAGACTGTCATCCAGTATTTCTAACTTTCTATTAGATGGCTAATTTTTGCAGTGTAGAAAAGTAGGGTGGCTCATTATGACTTATTGTATGACTTAAATAATCCCAAATATTACTGATTTATTATACAAATTAGGTAATATCTAGATAATGGTTCAGGGGTGTCAAACTCCTGTCCTCGAGGGCCGCTATCCTGCATGTTTTAGAGGTTTTCTTGCTCCAACACACCTGATTTTGATCGCTGGGTGATTAACAGGCTTCTGCCCAATTTGAAGAGTTAATTCAATCACTGAATCAGGTGTGTTGGAGCTGGAAAACCTCTAAAACATGCAGGATAGCGGCCCTCGAGGACTGGAGTTTGACACCCCTGGATTAAATGGAAATATTTTTGTAAAGTTTGGTGTTTAAAAGTGTTTTTCTTTTGCCTAGGAAATGTGTAAAAGTTTTTTTAATGACATTTATGCAAAACTAGATTTAGTTACTGCTTAGAAAAAAATGCTTCAAATAATTTTTTTTAAAATCCTCTATTTCTGGTAAGTGTTCTGATTATGTTGCTGTGACATATTTTCTGCTCATACCTGGCGACCTCGGGGTCCTGCCCCAGACACAACAGGACGGCCTGAGCGTTGATGAGGAGCCCCCAACACGGCAGACAGAACAACATGAGGATGAGGATGCTCTTCTGAAGGATCACTCCCACCTGCAGCAGGTTCTTACCACCATATGTCTGTGGAGAAAAAGCACAGAGAACCAAAACAAACATTTGGCTTCAACAAAGGAAAAGAAAATTTTTAATGAATAAAAACATTAAACAAATTTCCTGACCTGAGATACTAGAGTATCACATGCCAGTCCCAGACCATAGCCTGTTGCTGCCGTGGTAACATTAATGGTCTGAAACAGAAACATCATTGTTTTTATTAATCAGAGTAGATCATAATTATTCATAACTTATTGTGACTGAACTGTCATGGTGAGTTGGGAAATATGTAATCTTCCTGTCACAAGCTGCAGGGAAACGTCTTCATTTGTCGTTTCCTGATATTAACCTCTGTGTGGAGCACAAAGAGATCGACTTACAGCGGACGCTAATCCATAGCCGGCCATCACGTCATTTCCCAGACGCCCACAGAACATTGTCACCACAAACGGAAGAAGACAATTGAGAATTCGAGACATCAGCTAGAAGGACAAACAACAGGACCGCAGGTCAAACAACTGCAGGCTTGTGGGGGGAGATTTCAGTAAACACAAACACTATTTATTTGTGTAAACGCTGATTCAGCATCCTCTCCTCTCTATGTTGTTATGCTGCTCACTTTCAGCCTTTCACAGATCAATATGTTCAAATTCTGAAATGACTTTTAGTATTTGTAGCATTTATATTTTCAAGTTATTTAATTTTAATAAAAAAATATTCCTCATAGGATGAGATCTCTTCCTTCAGACAATAATCATTTTTTTGTTCTAATTTTAGTTTTTAAACATGGTTTTTCTTATTCAAGCTTTACAGTAGAGCTTTTAGCCAGTGTTTTACTGATTTTTGCATTTAGCCATGGCTTTGTGAATTTTAGCTTTTAGCTCTTGTTTTGTTTATTTTGAGCTGCTTGTGTTGATTTTAGTGTTCGGCTATTGTTTTGCTGATTTCAGCTTGTGTCAAACAGTTCAGGTAACAATTTATTGTTTAATTAAAACAGTTTAATTAAAGCAGAAAAGTCATTACACATTCAGCCTCCACATTTTTATTTTATTTTTTGCAATTAATGCTATCTTTGCTTTAAGATTTTATCTTGACAAAATGTAGCAGCTGCCAATATTTTAAGTTCATTATTATTTTTATTTTTTTTGTTGGCTCATTTTACATTTCTTAAACTTTTTTATTGGCTAAGACAAATTGTCATCAGTTTTTCCTGAAGCTATGTACTGAAATGACTTGCACACAGTCTGTGTCAGATAAAACATGTAATCAGTGCCAGTTCTTACCAGAGGTCCTGTCATCCTCAGGATGTGGTACAGTTCCTCTTTGAGGGCCACAGGAATCCTGCGGTGCACCCAGCTGCAGAAAAAAAGCCTGTCACAGGACACCTCCATGTCTGAAGTGTGACTTCTTCCACTAATGTGTCTCACTTTTCTTCTGCATTGTTGTTTTCTGGATGCTGCCAGGGATGGAACCCTTGCTGGGGCCACAGCTTCCCTGGAAGCAAGCCAGGGCCAGCTGAAACAACACAGATTGTTACACAAAGACAAGAAAACAGCCCACAATCACAACAAAGATCAACATGAAATGTCCTGTTCTGGATGATGAAACGTGAAAAGACAATGTAGCACATCGAGCTCTGGTCAGTGGAGGAAATTTGCAACAATAATCAGATTTTATGCCCTTCAGAGACAGAATGCCTGTTTCAAAGATATGGACAGTTCGAAACAATAAGAAATTTCAAGGTGATCCCCTATTTTTGCAATTGCGTAAATCTGTAGTGTCCTGAGTTAATGCCATAAAAATGGAATTCGATAACATAGCCTACAAATTCTGCTTCTAAGACATCTGTTGTATATATATTACTGTATAATTTTTATAAAGGTTTTGCAGTCTAAAATTATCTGCATATTTGTCCTGGCATTTTAAGTTTTTAGCTTGTCTATGTTATTGCTACTGTTAATTTTTAGCAATTCTTTCATACTTTTTGCATTTTTGGACTATTAGCTACAGTTTGACTACGTTTAGCTTTTAGCAACCCTTTTACTACTTATAGTTTTTAATTATTCTTTTTCTATATTCATCTTTAAGCTTGGCTTTTGCCATTTTTAATTAGAGTTGTGCTACTTTTAACTTTCATTCTGCCACAATTAGCACAATTACCTAGTTCTTTGCTTTCTTGGTAGCTATTTACAAGTTTTTTTTAATGATTTCAGCTTTTTAGCTAGCCTGGTGTTCACTTTTTGCTGGTATTTTGCTTCTTTAAGCTTTACCATCTAAGAAAAAAGTAATTCATTGTGTTTTTCTCAAAGATCTTAATCTTTAGGATTTTGTTTTCTAACAGGTGCAACAAACACAAAAACACACTGAAGTCCAAACTTAAACAGAACAAAGATTTACTGATTAAAACAGAACAAATATTCACATTTTTACAAATTGCAGTATTTACTTTATTTTCATTCTGATGGCTCAGATGGGTGTCCCTGTTGCGTGACAGTAAAAAAAATCCTTGGTTCAGTTCTCATTTTTGGGTCTTTCTGTGTGGAGTTTGCATGCTGTCCCTGCATGAGTTGTCTTCCACAGTCCATAACTGGTGATCCTTATAGGAATGAGTGTTTCTCTCTCTCTCTCTCTCTCTCTCTCTCTCTCTCTCTCTCTCTCTCTC